AAAATCTGTGAACTCTTTTATTTCCAAATACATTTAGACTCAACAGGGACGTGGAAAGGCCATGGCAGAGGTTATTATTAACATTGTGCACAAGCACAGTACAGTGACTCTATGAGGGAACTGACCTGGCGACAGTGCAACCAACAACAGATAGCCTCACCCAATGTCACGAAGTCACCCTGTGGCTTCTTCCTGGCCCAGGGTCCTTCCGAGAGTCCCTGGTAGCGCTGGTGCCGACCCCCACCTTTCCCCCTCCCCAGGGCCCTGTTGAAGAGTTCCAGTCAGCTGTTCGTGGAACGTTCATCAGTGCTGGTTTGCAGTGTGCTCCTGGTTCGGTCCAGGGTGGGGCCAGTGACAGATCACATGGTGAAGGCTGTGTGCAAGTTGCTGCCTGCACAGTCTTTTCCATGGTAATGAATGCTTGTCCCGCCAGAGGGGTGGTACTGGGAGACTGTACAGGCAGTGCTGTTCACTGCAGTTTGCTCACTTGGCCTAGCACCCATGGGGGTGGGGGGTTGCCTGCACCAGTTCCTGCCCTGTCACCCTCTCTACCCCTGCAGGGACCAACGAGCACCTTTTCTGGTGTTACTACCTCGGGTTATGGGGCCTGCTGGCTGCGCCCCGCTATTCACCTGCACCTGGCATGCATGTACGCACATTGTTGCACTCCCGGTTTTTATTCCCGCCCTCTCATTAAAGTCCTTTGGAAGGAGCAGTGGTTTCCTGGGAAGAAGTCCTGTGTAGAGTTGCCCCCACCCAGCAGAGGTGGCTGCTGGTTGGCTCGTTAACCTCCTAGTACCAGGTGGACCTGTGCAAAGCAGTTATGTGTCTTCCTGGAGATTCTGATGAGGGCAAGATGATGATTGGTGTAAGGTACTAGGAGGTTAAGGAGCCAACCAGCAGCCACCTCTGCTGGGTAGGGGCAACTCTACACAGGACTTCTTCCCAGGAAACCACTGCTCCTTCCAAAGGACTTTAATGAGAGGGCGGGAATAAGAACCGGGAGTGCAACAATGTGCGTACATGCATATGTTGTTGTTGTTTTTTTTAATGAGATCATTCTTGTAGCTTCTTTTTAAAGACTTGGAAGTCCATTTTGTAAAGCTCATTACAATGCTTTTACACAGGGAAGCCAGTATTATATCCAGCATTTGACTTCACGTGTGCTGTCTTCTCCTGGTGACAGTCTGTTATTTTCTGATAAGTTATCATTGTAAAAGGACTTCTGTGTGATGACGAGGACTCCTGATGGTGTGGTGGGTCTTATATACTAGGCTCCTAACTGCAAGGTGAACAGTTCGAACACACCAGCTGTTCTGGAGGAGAAAGATGAGGCTTTCTGCCCCTGTAAAGAGCTACAGTATTATAAGCCCACAGGGCCAGTTCTACTCTGCCCTATAGGGTCACTGTGAGTTGGCATCAAATCGATGTCAGCGGGTCGTAACCCCATTTCCCCAAGGACACTTGTCCTCTGGCTCCCAGGTGACTCTAGGGCAAGCACCCTGAGGCAGCTTGTGTGAGAGAACCTCTGAAAGGACTGTCCTAGGGAGGTATGACTCACTGCACAGGCCCTGCCTGCTGTGACACACTGTCACAGGTGTGTGTGTGTGTGTGTGTGTGTGTGAGAGAGAGAGAGAGAGAATGAGAATCCTTATTTCAGGGGCTTTGGCCATTTACTCTAGCCACAACTTCCCATAAGTACTTGTTTTGTTTCTTAAAAGAGGACTACTCACTTTGGCTTTAGTTTACTAGTTGTTCTTTTTGATCTTAGGACATAATGCAATTTAATCCAAAATAAAGACTTCATCTAGAGAATTACATAGTGAGCTTTATTTTTTGGCAACGAAAAGCAGTTGCCTCTGGTTTGCTGTATTCTGTTGTTAGTGTGCGTGAATGAGCAGAGCGTGTTGCACTAAGCAGCGCTGGATCTCCAGTAACCTGCTTTTGAATTTATTTACTTTCTGGACTTTATGGATTTGGCTTCCAAAAATGAGCACAGTGAATGAAGTTCTATTATCCCATGGGCCTTGCTCCGCTCAAAATAACTAAGGCTGTCCCTGTTTTCAGTAACCATACTGGAGAGACTTCTATATACAGAAGGAACCCTGGCCAACCAAGGACACAGAGAGTGCCTCCCAGCCCTCTCTTTATGCAGTGCCCTTGGTCCTGAGCGACAGGGGCCATGGCAGAGAATCCGCTGTGACTCACAGTGGCCTGCTCCCCTCCGAGGAGCACGTGTTCCCTGTGGCTCTTTGCAGAAGGGAAGAGATCTCCCAGACTTCCTCTGGAGTGCGCATCTGAGTGCACACAAACTGCCAACCTCTTGTTGCTGAGCACACTCGCCGTTTGCACTGCTTGGGGACGACTAATGGTTTAGACCCCCTAAGTTGTTTTAGGGTTTGATGGGAATTATGTAAATTGTTGAGCTAACCAGCTGTGGCACATGTTTACAGTGACAGTCACGGACTATCCTGGAGGGTGGCAGTGAGTTGGAGTCCACTTGATGGCAACAGATTACTCGTCACTAGGAGCATATTGCAGGTCTTTTCTCCTGTGGAACTGCTGAGTGACTCGTCTATGTGGGGGCTTCAGAAAGGGTGTGGAAATTTTTCATTGTCTAATTAATTTTCCATAAATACTTTACAGTCCTTTGTGGTGTTGTTAGGTGCCATTGCTTCAGATCCAACCCGTAGCACCCCTATGCACAACAGATCGAAACTGCCCAATCCTGTGCCATGTTCACATTTGTTCTTAAGTTGTAGCCACTGTGTCTTCCTATCTTAACTGAGGGCCTTCCTCGTTTTCACTGTCCTCTAATTAACCAAGCCTGATGTCCTTCTCCAGGGACGGGCTTCAGATGAGTGCAAGTTTTTGAAGAAGACACAGTGCTGCTGATTCCTTTGCTGCACAGCCTCTCCCCATCACTTGGCCCAATGCCCTGCAGGGGAAGAGACGACGTCTGCCAGGGACGATGTTACCACTTTGCTCATGCCTCTTTACTGCCCCTCAACTCCCAAGAGCACCCTGCCAGCTTTATGTTATTGCCGCTTGTTTTGTTTCCTGGTGGTACCCTCCCCCTCCCCCTTCTGTCACTCAGCCACCAGCTCCGCTAACCAGGTGTCCAGTTGAGGGCCCATGATGTTCCAGGCAGTGCGTTAGTAGCTGGGGAGACAGTGATTGTTAGAGCCGGTGGAGAGATAAGATCTGTTGGTCAAAGAGTCACATACATAAGCTTAGAAATACGACTTTGGTTGTAAACGCCTCCTTTCTCCCATTTATACCACCTAGCTCTTTGTATATATAAAAGTTATTTATAGGTTTATACATATTCATGTTTTTTAACTCTATCTCTGTGATTTTTCTTATCATTAATATCTATTCTCTTCAGTTTTCTAAGCTTGAGCAAATTCGTTAACCTGGAAAATCATGATCCTTATTCCTTTGATCGATTATATGCATAGGACTGCTTGTGAGAGCACTCAGTTGCTGTCACTGAGTCAATTCTGACCCTATAGTGTCCCCACATACCTATAAGAATAGATACTCTAAATAATTGAACTATTCTCGCATTGCAATGCAAATTCTACATTGTCTTTATATATTTTCCTTGTAACGTGCTGGTGGGTTTTATTTATCTAACATGTTTGCATTTATATTTATAAACAAATCTTATCTATACTTCTGACACTATCATTGTCAAGTTTTGAAATTTGTGTTTTTGCTAACTTTATAACCAGAATTAGGCAATTTCTCTGAGTCGGTCACAAAAGGGCAGACACTGTATGGGACAACTATTGTAAAGAACCAAGAAATAAAATCAACGTGCCATCACTGAAGTAGAAAGCCCATTAAAGTGCTGTCTTTTCACTGTTTAGACCTTGGTAAATGCGTAGGAACACCTTTGGTTATGCCTGTTTGCTGTCTTGTACTTTATTTAATGGAAAGTGGTTCAAATAACTAAGGCAATTATATAGTATGTTCATATTGAGTAATTCTTTAGATTGAAATTCCACATTGGCAGAGAGCAGCACTAAAAGGACACAGCCTTTTCCTCAAGGAGGCCTCAATCCAGAGACCAAGAGCCACCTGTGGGGAGCCTCAGCTTGTGCAGGACCACAGGCCTGCTACACAGTGTGGCCCAGTGGGTAGGGTCTGTGCATGTGAGAGCCTAGGGCAGCATCCCAGAGCAATAGAACCAGCGCCATGGGTGGAGAGAACTATCAGAGATGATCAGACCAGAAGGACATGGATAATAGCCTACTGACACTAATACTTAAGTGTGGCCAGAGGTGTGTGTTTAAAGGGTATTGATGTCTTAGCTCTGCGTTCTTACCTTACTCTCTTTATGAACCCAATGTAGTTGAATTGCTGACCGTCTTTTCCTTTGGACATGGACGTCTGTGCTTATCACTGGCTTCGTGGTCCAATCCCAAGTGCCCTCTTGTGAACTTGACCTTACTGGGCTTCATGGCACATGGCACTACTGATCACCCGGTCTTCTCTCCCCTCTGTCTCTTCTGTTAACTGTCACTTGTGTATCACTCTCAGACTCATGCTCACTTGGCAGTCTGCTGCCCATGGGCTGCTTGGTTAGGGTGTATTCTGAAGACACGTGCAATCTCCAGTTGGGTCTAACTCTAATTCTGATGGCCTGCTCTACAGACAGAGCTACCTGACACAAGTTATCATTTTGAACCACTGGCCTGGTCTAGGTTTGGGGAAATGAGGGCTGTGTCACAGGGATCCTGGAGCTGGCTGTGGTCTGCTCTGCGATTCCCAGCAGAGATCCTTTAGGGCCACTCAGCAGTCCTGTCAAGTCTGGGTTGAATCCTGCGAATAACCGACTGGCTCAACGTGCTTTTATTTATTTATTTATTTTTGTTGTTTGAATATTTTACCGTGGAAGTCTCCCTTGGCCCTCTTTTATCTGTCATTCAGCCTTTTGTCTATTTTTTAAAAACCACCACTGGACTAGCAGGGATGTTTTGTCTGTGTGTCTAACACATTTTTACTTCCGACAGAAATCAGCAGAGTACGGAAAGACATGTACAACGACACGCTGAATGGCAGCACGGAGAAGAGGAGTGCGGAGCTGCCTGACGCCGTGGGACCCCTGGTCCAGTTACAAGAGAAACTGTATGTGCCTGTGAAAGAATACCCAGACGTGAGTACACGCTGCTGCTTATCCTTCTTGGGTCCCTGCTCTTCTTGCTTGGGAGATTGTCAGTCATACATGTGCATATTTGGTTTATTTCGTGAAGAATTAGCATGGGTGATTGACAGTCACTTCTTGCAAGGCTTTTGGGCGTTAAAGTGTCACTTTCAGGGATGCACATGGTCAAGGCTGTGGAGAGTTTCCTCGGGATGTCCCACCCGGAGCAACGAGTACAGGTCCTTGCTCTGCACTGACCTCAGATAAGCTCCAGCCTGGGCCCAAGTAGAGGGGGGAGCAGGGGGTGCGATTTCCTGACAGCTCAGGTCCCTTTAGTCTAGTGGTTTTCAACTTGTGGGTCGCAACCCCTTTTGGGGGTCGAACGACCCTTTCACAGGGGTCGCCCGATTCATAACAGTAGCAAAATGACAGTTATGAAGTAGCAACAAAAATAATTTTATGGTTGGGGATGACCACATCATGAGGAACTGTATTAAAGGGTCACAGCATTAAGAAGCTTGAGAACTACTGCTTTAGTCCCAGACAGACAGCACTGTTTGATCTGCTCATTACTCATCCCACTCTTCTCTCAGCATCATGTGGGAACTGTCTCCGAGCCCATGCCAGCCCACCTCTGACCTGACCCAGACTCCACTCTTGGTGCCAGAATTCCAGGATGTCTCTCGTCCTCGCTACTATCTGCTTGGTGATGTGTCTCACCCTTTGGACAAGTCTGTCCTCTCTCTGAATCTTGTGTTAGACCTGCCTGACTGCTGCCGGTGGGCAGGTGCTGGATCATGTGATATATGTATGTGTGTATATATAAATAAACAGGAGGGTCGCTTCAGAGCAGCCACCTCAACTTCATCTGAGAGCCATCAAGAGACTTGCTGCTGTCAGCACCAAGCCCTGTGTTCTCGTTGGCTTGCTCCTTTTTCCATCTGGTCTGATCCACCGTGTAAGACCCTTACCAAGAACCTTGTCTCAGCAACTCATTGCTGGTGCCCCGATGTGTACCATACTGGCACAAAATGGCACTCAGCACCCAGTTATTGAGTACACGGGGAAAGAGGAGGTTTTGTGAGTCTTAGAGGACTTTCCTGAATAAGTAACTATCATAGTTGTCCCAGCTGTGGCTGGTTGCTGGTTGTATGGACAATGTTACAGGAACCTTGGTGGCATAGTGGTAACGTGGTGAGCTGCTAACCACAGGTCAGAGTTTGAAATGGCAGCTGCTCTGCAGGACAAAGGTTGAGCTTTCTATCTCATAAGGAGTTAGACCCTTAGGGTCAGCTGTACCCTGTCGCATTGACTCCATAGCAGTGAGAGTGAGTTTGTGGATCACATAAAGTCTGGGGATAAGAGATAGATGACTTAATGTTTACTACTAAAGCTTGAGGATTTCACAAGTTTTATTTCCGACACATTTAACAAAAATGATACTGTACTTTTGGGGAGTGCACACACCGCAAAGTGGATTTTCAGGCAGCGATCTCTGCACACTGGCGACACTTGTCGCTCCTGTCAGCCTTCTCAGTGCTTATGTTCTTGCCGATCCACGGCATTCATGGAGTTACACTGCCCACAGACCTCTCATCTCAGCTTTAGAGAATAACTGGTGGCGTAGTGGTTAAATATTGGGCTGCAACCCTTAAGGTCAGCAGTTTGAAACCACCAGCCCCTCTTTGGGAGAAAGATGGGGCTTTCTACTCCTGTAAACAGTTACAGTCTCAGAAACCCACAGCAGCAGTTTCTACCCTGCCCTTTAGGGTTGCTATGAATCAACGACTCTATGACAGTAAATCTCCATGACAATGAGTTTGGTTGTCTGTTTGGTCTCATATGACTGACAGACTTTTTAAAAGAGTATAATTTTCAAGGATACAATCCTTAACTTTTTGAGCTTATCTGATACTTAATCCAAAGGTCTTTTGGGGGGCAGCTTCTGCTCCAGTTTTGACGAGGGCCTTGGCAGTCATCTCTGAGATGCAGACGAGCCTCAGGCCAGTCCAGTAAGTCTGGATTCTTGGAGAATTTGGAGTTCGGGTCCACATCAACTCCCATCCATCAGGATTTGCTTGTCGTGACCGGGAGCTAAGCACTATATAGCTCTTCTTGTCTCTACAAGGAGGGGCTAGGGTTCATGATGACCAATAGTCTTACTTTGTATGTTTTTTTGGTTGCAAATACTCAAAACAGTTCTGGATAATGTAGACCAAAAAAGGGAGAAGTTTGGGGTTATAACTGTCCAAAGAATTAGAACAGGTGTCTTCAAACTGCAGCCCGCGGGCCACATGAGGCATGCCGAGGACATTTATCCGGCCCGCCTGGTGTTTTTGCCCGTTTGTTTTTTTTATTCAAAGTAAGATATGTGCAGTGTGCATAGGAATTTGTTCATAGTTTTGTTTTTGTTTTTAAACTATAAGTCGGCCCTCCAACGGGCCTCAGGGACAGTGAACTGGCCCCCTGTTTAAAAAGTTTGAGGACCCTTGAATTAGAAGCTAGCTGGAGAAGAGACCCTTGGCCAGACAGGAGGAACCCAGAGTGTCTCATGAGAGCATCATGTGGCTCATGGCAGAGCATCCAGTTTCACAAGAGGTTGGAGGACCACTCTGCTCTCTCTGTCTCCATTACCCAGCATTGTCCACTGGGGCCCCTGGGCCCTGTTGCTGCGGTGGGCTGTGGTTCCCTGTTCCTTACAGAGAGTCAGCTCTGCAGATGCTGTCCACGCAGACGATGCCAGACTTCAGGACTTCAGTGATGGAGAATATGGCCCTGCTGTGTCTGGCCCCCCTCGCTTTATGGGGAGGGGAATCTTCATGCAGCCTTATTAGAAGGCATGTGTTCACACAGAAGGAGGCCTCTTGCTGGGGTCCCATTTTGGGCTTTCAGCCCCAGCTCCACCTCCTGCTGATGGATGTACTGGGCAGAACCTGGTGGAAATAAGCTCTCGCCCCTTATTTTATGAACTCCTGATTCTGGGGCTGGGGGCCAGCAGTCTCCCTCTGACAGTTTCTTCAAGGGAGTTTGAGGGCTAGGGCGCTAGATGGGGCCTGGTTTTGCAGGTAGGTAGGGGTTCACCGCCAGGGTTACTGCGGCCTACATTTGGTGCTGGGAGAACAGGTGGATATGGAATGTGCCTGAGAGCTTGGGAGGGACCTGAGCCCAAGCAGAAGGGGGCCATGCAGGCATTCTGGGTGTGCCCAGGGCTCTTAGGGAGAGGAGTGACTGACCCACTGTCGGCTGGGTGTGAATGGACAAGGGATCAGGCAGGGTTGCCCACGGGGGCAGAACAAGGGTGGGACCATTGAGTAGAAGAGAAATATTGGCATTCTGGGTAGACTCTAAAGTTAGCTCTGACACAGTTTGCTGCTAGTTGGGATGTGGGGTGTCGGGGTGGCCCCAGGGTTCATTAGTTGGCACTGCACTAATGGAGTCTCTAGTTGTTGGGTGATGTGTTAGTCTGGGTAAACTAGGGAAACAAATCCACAGAAACATATGTGTAAGAGAGAGTTTTATATAAAGGGTTCTGTGTACATTAAGAAAGCATCCCCACCCAGTGCTGTCCAAGACCATAAGTCCAACATTAGCCCATATGTCTGACACTGATCTACAAAGTCCTCTTCAATCTGACAAAACACATGCAAAGATGCCGACTGTAGGAGGAAAGCCGAATGAGTGAATGTGTAAGCATCTCAGTGCTGGCAGGGGTCTCCACACAGCTGCTCCAGTTCCCAGGGCTGCATTGGGGTAGGTCCATGTGGCTTTTCCTCAGGGATGTCTTGCAGGAAGTGAGCCTTGCCAGCTGAAGCAGGGAGCTGGTTAAGGCAGCCGCACCCTGGTCCAACCATCAGAGAGCAAGACACCTGCGAACTAGAAAGGTGAGGCTCACCGAGCCATTTATCTCTCCGCCCTTCAATTAATCCCACATGTATTCATCGGCCATGTTGGCAGAATAAAACTTAACTATCTCAGGGGAGGAGTGGAACTCAGGGTTCTGTGGTTCTGGCTTAGCTCTGAGTCTGAGGGCTGGCAGATGCTCCAGTGTGAAGGTTCAAGGCAGTGGGCGGGGAGGTGGTCTTGTGACAACTGCAGTGCCAGTTCCCGGGAGGAGAAAAATTGGTATAAACCCATTTTTGGCATTCAGAGAACTTTTAAAATATCTACACTTCATTTTTATTAAAATAATTTTCTTAGAAAGTTGAGGTGTCCGTGCAGTACCATGTATACTTGTGTATAAGCTGAGTTTTCCAGCACATTTTTAATGCAGTTTTTGTGGTAAAACTAGGCGCCTTGGCTGATACTCGGGTTGGCTTATACTTGAGTGTATATGGTATTTGCAGACATGTCATATGCCTCCTGGCTGCCTTTGGAACTCATTCTGTGACTTTGGCCTGTGACTTATCACCCTGTTGCTTGGTCTCGCCAGGTTGGGCGTATAGATGAGCTAACACGTGAACAGCTCTGGGAACATGCCCTCGTGCTGTCCGAGTGTTGGTCAGCAGGTGTCAGCTCTGGGAGGACAGGGCCTTGGGTTTGTTTGGCTCAGTGCCATCTTCCGAGGACCCAGTTTGCTGTTGGTGGTGGCTGCCACCAGGTGCCCTCAGACGCCTAAGCCCACATACTCCACACACAGGGTTTTCCTGCCTCTGACCTTTCCAGAAGGGGGCCACCAGGTCTGCCTACTACCACAGTGCCTCTGAGGAGGTGAGCAGCCTATACAAGGCTTTTTTGCTCTCTGCCTCTGAGAGTCATAGGCACTCAGGCAGCGTTGGCTGAGTGTGCGTGTTGAAAAGCTTCACTCTTTCAAATGTTGCTTAGACTTCTCAAAATAATCAGTTGTCTCATATCTGCAAAGATCAAGTATTGGCTCAGATCATTGCAGGATTGGGGCCAAGATTTGGATTGGACAGCAGGGCAGGTGGCCCTCCATCCCACAGTCTTTTGTGAAGGGAGCTGGCCATGCTACCTAGACTCACTGATGAGTAGATGTTAGCCAAGGGTTTGTTCCT